CTATTTCCGGAAGAGATCCTTTCTCCGACCTGGCCTCAGATGGACCCCGAAACAACACTCTGGTGGTTTTGTTTTTGCTTTTAAATAGAATAAACTGTAGGCACAAGGGGCAGCGCAGTGGCCCACGCTGGCCATAGGGTCTTGTGTCCGACCACCACCAAACCGGTTGTTGGTGTGTTTGTTCACAGAACATGGATGAAGCAATGCTGTGGTTTACACGGGGCTAGGCACTGGGGAAACAAATGGTGAGCCAAAGCACACGTGGTTTCTGTCGTCCACTGGAGACAGCAGAGACTGACCGACGACCAGAGCAGCGAGAATATAATCACAAACGGAGATGGTGCTTCAAAGAAAAGGGAGACTCTGACCTGGTCTGGAAGCCTTCTCTGAGGAAGGGAGGTTGGAAGATCTATTCTAGACAAGCAGGCAAAGGGGTGGGAGAAGGGCCAGCAGGTGCAAAGGCCCTGTGGGTAAGGAGCATGCTTGTCTGTTCCAGAAGTAGAGCAGTGTTGGCCGAAGCGTGGGGAAGGATGGTTTAAGGTGAGAAGGTGAAACTGAGGCGGTCACAAGGAGGCCTTGAAGCCGCAGGAAGGGCTCTGTCTAGGCTGAAAGCATCATTAAGGGCACCGATGACCAGACCACAGAAAGCAAGTGTCGGTTGATCTGATTCAGCCCCAAGCCTGGGCATCTTGTCTGATGCAGATGAGTGGGTTTTCTCCAGTTCTAAGCCGGTGTTCATGGCAGACAGCGGACTTCCCTGGAGACCCCGGGGACCAGCGCTACAGAACGGTCTGTATCCCACTGACGTCCGAGCTGCTGACATCACCCTTCCAGAGACGCCAACATCCGACCCACACCGGACAGAGGAGAAAGGACCTTCTCTCTCCAGATCAGGGAGAATCTGATGCTGCTCCAAAACCAGAGTGGGCAGGCCCAGGGCGTCTCTGTCCCCTCCCTTCAGAAAAAGCCATCCAGCATTCAGAACATAAATACTTACCACCACTTCTGCTCTGGGTCCATAGTTTTCCGCCCTTCTGACCCTGCCCCGGCCTCCCCGGGTGCCACCTCTGGCTCCACGCCCGGGACGAGGGAGGTTACCGAAGTTAATCTCCAGCTGGGACGTGATGTCATTGGCCGCTTTCCGGAACACGTGGGCATCGTCTTCATAGTCATCCTTCACCATCTGGAACACAGTTACGGCGTCAAACACGGAACACGCGCGGGGCCCCCCCGGCTCCCCGGACCCTGGGGGCGGGCGGGGAGGGGACGTGCAGGTGGGTCCTGCACACTCTGCGGCCCCACACGTTCTCGCACTCACAGCCTAATTCAAACATCTCTGAACTTACTTCAAGTGACACCAAATTTCTATCAGCGTAGCAGCTTAAGTAAGACGTAAGACTGGACGTGACTAGCAGCAACCACGATGCACGTTTTATATCGAAGTGAGCTTTGCTGAGATTAAGCAGTTGTGGTTTCTACCTTTTGTTTTATTTCTTCGCAGATGCTACTTTGATAAATAAGGAAAATCACCTTCCGAGAACAGAACTGGATGGAGAAATTCCTTTCAACGTGGGTGCTGACTGTGCAAATACCGAGTGTTAAAAGCTGGATGATTTACAATAAACAATTCTGATTCAAAATGTATGGAAAGGGTAAAATAACAGAGTACGATTATGTGAGGATTACTAACCACCAATGATGCATAGAGAACGTGAACTCAAACTGCTTTTTAAAGAGCTGCTTTAGTTAAAATTCTTTGAGGAAGTACATTTTATTCTAAGAGGTCAAATACGTTCTGCCTCTTGTTGAAAGAAAACTGTATGAAATAGATCTCCAAATCTGACTTGGCCTCAATTCTCAATAATGGCTAAAATAAAAAAAAAAAACTCTTGCTTTTAAGTAAAATATAAATCTACAGAAAATATGCCAAGGATCCTGGATAAGAATCCCCACGGTGCCGTAAGGTTAAACGCCCCTACGGCTTGTCCAGGAGATGGGATCAAGTCGTCCCGAGCACATCAGCCCCTTCGGCCACGTGCTCAGTGCAGGTTTCACGTTTAACATGTGTCTCCTTCAGAGTTTCAGATCAAAGTAAAGGTCTTGGGGAGATGGGCTCTGGGAGTTGAGAAGGTGAAGTTTGAAAGAACAATTCAGGCGCACGGGCACTCTGGGAACAAGATAAACACACACACGCACACGCACACACATACTAAGAGGTAAACTAATGAACTACTGCCTGGTTGAGAAAACAAGTCAGTGCGCCCCAGCAGGGAGGGGGCAGCCTTTCCGGGATCAAGGGACACCTCGCAGGGGCAGCGGAGGGGGTCAGGCCAGAGTGCTGTAAGGCCCAGTTCTATCCACGGGCTACTGTTAGATCTGAGCTTTGAGAACAGCAGAGCTCCATGCAGACAAGAGGCATCATTCTAGTGTTTTTTGTCTCGCAGGGCCCCCGGAACAAAGTAAACTAGTGACCCCAGGATTTGGCCTCTGTTGCTTTAAGAACAGCTCCTGGCTAAGATCTTCAGTGCCACAAGATTAATGAGTACCAAAGATGTGCGCTTTGCTGAGACCAAGCTCGATGACTCAGCTAACCCAGCTGCTTCAAAGATTCCAGGAGACCTCTCTCTGGAGCCAGGGAGGATGAATCTGGTGTGGATTAAGGAAGAGCAGCTTCTATTTTTACTTAACGTGTCAGCTGCGCGTTTCACATCCTGACGGCACATTTGTTTTAGGCAAAGCTTTATTTACAACGGCCCTGAACAGAAAAGAGGAATGTGGATAGGAAAAGGACCCACCCAACTAGCTGGCAGACGTGTAAAAATACCTCACAGAGCTTTCCAAGAGAATAAGGCTCTGGCCTCATACGTGTGCAGCAAGTCATTTCTAGCAGAACAGCTCAAAACTTATTGAAGAGCTTGGACTGACTGAAAGAGGACATAGGAGGGGACCCTGGATCATAAATGACCTTCTAACAAAAGTATTCATTCAAAGACTGTAACTAACCAGCGCTTAAGTGGGAACACAGACCCAGCTACATAGTAGAAAACTCCTGAGTTTCAAACGGAAAATCAGTGACTGGTACCCAGCACAGAGGAAGAGCCTGCTCATCACCACCATGGATGCAGAGATTGGTATCAAGACAAAGAGCTGGATTAAATGATGCTGACTCTACATTTTAAAACTAGAAGGCTTCAGTGTGCCCTTACATTCAGTAACTTAAATAGAATGTGATTAAATGACTCTCTGACCATCTTTATCAATATATGCTGGTAGGTATTTTCAAAGCCGAAGCCTCCAATAAAAAGCTGCAACATGAACCATTTAAAGCAGGGCCTCACAAGAGAGAGGAAGGCGGGAGCGATCCGACAGGACCTCAGGTCACGGGAGTGCCTGACACACGGCTCCTCTGGTGAGTTTTGGACAAGCTTCACAGAGCACAGAACCCTGACCACTTTAAAATGATCAACCAGTTCCAATTAAATGTTCCTATTAAGAATTAGAACTGTGAAAAAAAAAGAAGAAAAAAAAAACCCCCAAACTTTGCTGTACAACCTGGCACTAACTACTTAAATTTTAAAAAAAGAATTAGAGCCGAAGGTAATCTGATCATGACATGCTGAGTAGTTACCCTCTGAAACGTTTTCGCTTCAGGAAACATTGTACCTCTTTTGAGACAAACTGCAATGCAGTTAAAATGTACAGTCTTTGCACAGTCTTAGGACAGCTCTGGGCTGAGCAGAAAATGCACTGTCACTGTAACTGCTTTGGATTAAGTGTCAATGGATCAACTATTCTTTCCATTTTTTTCTTAATGGACAATAAAATACATTAAAATTAGGCACACATCATCTGTGATTACTCTGGTAGAAACTAGAATGCCAGCTACCAATGTTCCATTTTTAAAAGAGAAGGGGAAAAGCCCATTTCATTTCCAATAAGCTAACAGTGAAGATTACCTCTAAACACAAAACATTATGCTTACATCATCTCTGTATTTGGACTTGTGTATCACCACCGCTTTGGAAGGGACAGTGGACTCAGGTTTCCGGATGTTAAATTCAGGCTTTGGTCTGGTCTGTTCTTGAAGATTTTTCCACTCATCTAGGGTCATCTCTTGAACTTGAGTTTCTTCTTCTACCTCCAACTCAGGAACTCTGCGTTAAAGAAGTATAATCATAAAGAAGGATTTCTCACGGGTCTGCAATGTACTTTCTCAAAGAAAAAGTTATAACCATTAGTTCAACACACTTTCATGGTACTGCATCTCAAATCTAAATAAGGTAAGAAACTCTTTAAACTATGGTTCCTAAGCTTCCTTATTTGATTTTCATCATTTTATGCGGTCATTGCCAACTGAAGATACTTCCTGTCTGTGTTCAAAGCAGTCTTTGAAAAATGGGAAGATCAATATTCCAATAATATCAACATTACACTTCACCAGCGGGCACACCCTTCCTATCTGGCATTACACACAAAACGAGGTAATTGTAGGACAAAATCAGAGAAGTTATTGAGACGAAACACATATAGGAAACTGTGAAGAAAGGTTATAAACAACAGGTCACAAACACATACTTTTATAAATATCCTCTTTAAATTCATGAGTTCTTAAAACAGAAGACAGACATGTAGATCAATCAATAGAATTCAGGGTCTGGAAATAAGCCCGCACATTTATGATCAATTTTGTTTTTCAACAAGATCATTCTTTTGCACGTGGATATCTAGTTTTCCCAGCACCATTTGTTGAAGACTGTTCTTGTTCGTTCTCCTTTGAATTAAATTGGACCTCCACCGTCCATGGCCATACCACCTTGAATGTGCCCGATCTCGTCTCAATTGAACCTCTACCTCACACCATAAATGTAAGAGCTGAAAGTATAAAACTCTAAGAAGAAAACGTAAGCATACACCTTTAATGACCTTGAATTAGGTAATGGTTTCTTACGTATGACACTAAAAACACAAGCAACAAAAGAGAAAGTAAGTAAACCGGACATCACAAAAATTGAAAACTTTCACAATAGCAAAAGAACATGAAAATGCACCTCAGAGAACGGGAGAAAATAGTGGCAAATCATATATCTGATAAGGGACTTAGATCTAGAACTCTTAATTATAACTCAGTGAAAAGAGATGACCCAACTGAAAATACACACTTGTCAAAACAATGAACATACACCTATTTTTTACACATTTCACAATAAATATATTTTACATCAGTTTAGGAGGTGGGTGTAGGTGTTTGTTGTAAACTTCTTTACACTTTGCTGTGTTTGAAATTTTTCATAATAAAATGTTGGAAAAATGCTAATATTAAAATACATCCCAAACACATATAGGCGAAAATCTAGAAAGACATTAAGATTTATAACATCAAAATACTGGAAACAACTCCAACTCATCAGGAGAGGAATTTGGTGGAAAAATTATGGATATTAAACATGAATATTAAGCAGCTAAAAGAATGAGAAAAAATATATATATAGCTATGGAGCACCTCCTACATATACTGATGAAAAAGCAAGGTAGAATGTATGTTACCATTCACCTAAGAAATAAGGAGATACACAAATACATACACATATAGGGTTTTTTTGTTTTCAATTGTAATATAAACTAGGGAAAGAGCAGGGATAGAAGCTAATCGGAAAATATCATGCTTTAATGGACTGCACTTTAGAAACATGTAAACATTCTACATAATTATAAAAGATTGAAAATAAAATTCAATCTCTAAAATGTGGAAGCAAAATTAATCAAATTACCCTAATTGTTCATCACGTTGGTGATAAAAGCATCAGAAGAAATTGAAGTGCCTTTGAAATACAAATGTGATTATTCATCTCTCTATAACTTTTTAATAATCATATTATTGAGGTAGCATTGCTAATGTTATTTGTGACTGTTGCATGTGTAGCAAATGAGCAACAGTATGATGTTACTGACAAGTGGGATTTTCAGCATGGAAGAAAAAGAGAAACAAATGTAAGAAAATTTAGCTAAAAATTTTGTATTCCTACACTTCAAATGGAAATAGTGACTGACTTCATAATATATTTTATCTTAAAAATATGTGTGTGTGTCTCTACTTCTCAGCCCTGTCCACTTAAATGTCTTAGAAACAGTCAAGAATCTAGTAGCCATGAGTACCCCTAGTGCCCAGAGTGTGGTCTCTAAGTACCATATTGTAGGAAAGGATTCTGGCTCGTTGGAAAAATGGCTCAGTATGAAGTATGAGGTATGAAGTACAGATGATGAGTCTACAATGCGTCTTACCAGAAATCACGGAAGCTATCAAAGACCACTGAATTTGTGTCAAAAGGATCAAGAATCAACTTGAAGAGGTTCCCTCCAGTTAAAAAATGGTCAGTTTAAGTACCCATAAAAACTCAGCAGACTGAAAAACATCAGATGTGTTTAAATATGTTTATGATGACACTTAAAAAAAGTCATTGGCACCTTTGAAGGACATGAGAGAACCATTAATTCATTATTCTGAGCAATGAGTAAATTAGAAGTAAAATGTACCTTTTATTTATCCTTCATTTCCTAAACAAAGTTACACCTCAGTGGAATCACCTAGTTCTAGGTAAGTTTTCTCTACAGACCATCCCAGCTACTAAAGAACGGATGACAGAATTAGACTATCACTAATTTGCAGCCCTAATGAATTCATGGATAAAGACAGTGATAATCAGTGGCCTTCCATAACCCATGAAACAATCTTGCCAAAAAGTTGAGTCTGAATTTGATCCAACTTCTGTCTCACTATTAATTTTCAGGAAATAGGAAAAATACAGGGAAAGGGGAACCTGTCTGACTACTCTACAGGCAATCTGGAACTGACTCGTACCAAGCCATAACAGCCAATTTTCAGGAATTCTGCCAGCTGGCTGGTGAAGGCAGTTGTTAAAAAAACAACAAAACTATATAAATATATAATTAACAATGTGAAAACACAGGTAATAAATCTTCACAGCTCATTATTCCTTATAAGTTCACTACATTTTACCTTCACTTCTGTACTTGAAGTTATTCATCCCTATTGTATGTATATAGTGGAAATACTGCACAACAGTGTACTCCTGCACATTTCTTCGCAACTCTGTTCAGTAAGGTCACATTGGTAGTTTTAAATTAGCCGTGGTGGGAATATTGACACCACAGAAACCAGCAAGTACAGCAGACCCAGGCTATTTCATCCCAGAGAACCAGATGTTAAATATTTACCAGAATGCCAATGACCACAGGGATGCAAGCAATAGAATTCTGACTCTGGGAGACTCTTTGGACAAATGACCTAGCTTTTTCAACAAATAAATTGCAAGGGAAAGAAAAGAGAAAAGATTTAAAGATTACTTAAAGGTAATCAAGATAGTTTGATATGATACTACTCAGCCATAAAAACCGACAACATCACGCCATTTGCAGCAACATGGATGCTCCTAGAG